GTGGACGTGGCAGTGCCTGGAGACAGCAGAATAGAAGAGAAAGAGCTGGAGAAGATAACAAAATACAAAGACCTACAAATAGAAATAGAAAGACTGTGGCAAAAGCAAGCAAGGGTAGTACCAATAGTCATAGGTGCCCTGGGTGCAATCCCAAAACAACTGGAGCACCACTTGAACACCATTGGCATTGACAAATTTGCTATTAGACAGTTGCAAAAGGCACCCTTAGTAGGAACTGCTTCCATCTTGCGACGATATCTGTAGTACCATCAAACATCCACATCTGCCTATCCCAGGTCCTTGGTAAGGACTCGATAAGTAGACAAAAATGCCAAATCCAGTCTGAACATCTGGCTGACTATGCGATGATCCTTAATAATAATAATAATCCCCCAGTGAGGCACTACCTTGATGTGGTTGTGGGGCTTGTGTACTCTGAGGAAGATGAGAGCTATTCCAGAGATTCAACCATACTGGACAGGTCTCATCAGAGGAATCAGACAAAGAGTGTCTCTCCCATAAAAAATATGATGAGACATAAATTTCAGAATGCCATACCGGCTCGGATATTGCCTGGGTTAACAAGGTCCGCGCTAGATATTGGAGTTCCTGGATATCTGGTGAAAAATGGGTTACAGGACTCAGGACTGTTGGCTGAGCAACTAGGGCCAGCAGCTGCAGAACTACTGGAAGAAAAGGTGTTTACCCATCGCAGATACACAGTGATTGAAAACAAAGAAATAATGATCCGTTACTACAGATCAAATCCAACAAGAAGAGGATATCTAAAATGAATGCACCAGTTCTGGAAAGAACAACATCCAGAATCAGAAATAACAGAACAGAGACTAGCAGATCAACGCCGAATTATAATACAAAATAAAGTATTCACAGAAACAGAATTGGACGAACTGCAAAGATTTATCCAGGGCAAAGAAATCAAAGCCTTGCCAGAAGTAATTCAGAATGTAGAGGCAAAGCAGGGGGAGTTGGCAGTGAAGGAATCTAGCAGAGATATACAGCTGTTCTCATTTGGAAACCAGGCACCTCTTCCTCAGGAAGAACAAAACCCTCTAACTAAAGAAATAAAAGAATTGAAACAAAGAATAACTGAGCATCTAGAACAGCACAAAAACAACAGAATAAGGCTACCTGCATTGAAGCTTGTTCCAAAGAAATAGCTAGCACAAGCATTAAAAGATGCAAATACTGCAATATCAAGTATAAGCACCAATTCAGTGCAAGAAACAAACCAACTAATGTACAGCACAGCTGCAGTTATAAATGAATACCTTGGATGCAAAATCAACAAAAAAGAAAAACAAACAGTGCACTAGAAAGCTGGAAGGTTAGACTAGAAAATAAGATCAGCAAGTCAAGATCACATGCAACAAGCTAGAACAGATGAAAGAAAAGAAGCTGAAGAACAAGAAGACCAAAGAATACCTAATCAAGAAATACCACTTGGAAACAAGAAAGATCAAGGAAGCACTGGAAATAATAAAGCAGCAAATAACAGCTATAGCCAGGAAAATCAGTAGATATGAAGCTCAAATTGCAAACTATAGGCAAAATTTCAATCCAATTAGAAACATTTTTACCAATCTATCAATGGAGAAACTCCAATGAATCAGTCAGTACCTGACAAGGAAGAAACAGTGCAGTTCTGGAAGTAGATATGGAATAACCCAAAGAAATACAACAAGGATGCGGCTTGGTTAAAAAAGGTGGATTCAAACAAAACAGAAGTTGAAATGAAAGAACTAGTAATAACAACAAAAATGGTAGAAAAAAGAGCAAGGAAGATCAAAAATTGGTCAGCACCCAGGTGAAGATGAACTGCATGGGTTTTGGTTGAAACATCTAACTGTTATACAGCCACTCATTGCCAAGCAGTTTAATAATATACTACAAGGAGGAGAAATTGAAAAGTGGCTGACAACTGGGAAAACCTATCTAATAATGAAAAATCCAGCAAAAGGGGCAACACCAGGCAACCACAGGCCAATTACCTGTCTACCAACAACTTTCAAATTGCTAACTGGTGTGGTAGCTGATGCAGTACAACAGTATCTAATTGAAAACAATCTCTTTATGGTGGCTTCAGCCTCCCAGATTGGGAAAAATATTATCAAGCAGCTATGCTTACTTGGGCGAAAGAGTGGATACATCTGAGAAATAGGAGATTATTAGCCTTAGAAGGCCACGATATGCAGACAGGGTGGCACGCAATTCTTTGGGAAGGAAAGCACACGGCTCACCAGTACTTCCAGAAACATTATATCAGACAGGCACTACTAGATGTATGGGTCAGAATTAAAAAATGTAATTACGTGAAAATCCCTAATTGAGTATCCACATTGGAGATATTCATACATCCAAATTTTATGAAATCAGAAAAGGCAATCACTCAATAATTGTTGACGATTTTCCTTTGTAAATGTAAGCCAGGCAAACACACTGTTAATCAATTATTATGTGATTTATGTTTTAAAAACCAATAAAGTTTATTAAAAAAAAGAAAACAATCTCTTTCCACCTGAGCAGAAAGGAAACTGATCCAATAGCAGAGGAACAAAAGATCAACTCCTAATAGACAAAATGATCTTGGAAAACTGCAAGAAAAGGAAGACCAACCTGAATGTGGCATGGATTGACCAAAAAAAGACATTTGACTCTCTGCCACATGACTGGATAATCAAGTGCCTAGAAATAACAGGAATCAGTAGAAACATCAGAAAATTTGTGCAAAGATCGATGGTACAATGGAAGACACAGTTGCGGGTCAATGGTGAGAGACTGGGAGAGGTTAACATCAAGAAAGGAATATTTCAAGGAGATTCATTATAACCATTACTATTTGTTATTGCACTGTTTCCTCTGCCAACAATACTGAATAACTCAGGACATGGCTATCAAACATCAAAAACATCTGTCAGACTATCCCACCTCCTTTACATGGATGATCTGAAGTTGTATGGAAAAACATCATCTGAAATAAAATCGCTGCTCAACACTGTCCATATATATAGCCAAGATATTGCAATGGAATTTGGCTTGGACAAGTGTGCCACACTTACTATCAAACAAGGTAAAATACTGAAAACTGAAGGAATCAAGATGACCCACGAAAATAACGTTAAGAGCCTGGATGAGGAAGATTACTACAAATACTTGGGTATCCTTCAAGCTGAATCAAGCACACTGAAGTCAAGAAAAAGATTAGAGGTGAATACATCATGAAAGTGAAGAAGATCTTAAAGTCCAAACTCAATGGAGGAAATACCATAAAGGCAATCAACACCTGGGCAATTCCAGTCATTAGATACACAGCTGGAATAGTGGACTGGACTCAAGCAGAACTAAAAGCAATGGATAGGAAGACCAGAGAAATAATGACAATGAATCATGCCCTTCATCCACGCAGTGACATTGACAGACTTTATCTACAAGGCAAATAGGTGGGCGTGGAATGCTGCAAGTACATCAGATGGTTGAAGAAGAAAAAATGGCTTTGGGAGAATATCTGAAGGACAATGATGAAGATGCACTGAAATTAGTATATCAGGAAGGCTTACTGACTACTGGAGAGACCAAACTGGCCTACAAGAAAGACCAAATGAAGAACAGAATAGAGGCATGGGAAGAAAAGCACTACATGGCCAGTACATTAAAAAAAATAGCTGAGAAAGAAGATAATAACAAGACCTGGCAATGGCTAAGAGCAGGAAAATTGAAGAAAGAGATCAAGGTACTAATTCTGGCTGCACAAGACCAGGCTTTAAGGACAAATGCATATAAAGTCAAAATTGAGAAGACAGCAACAGATAGTAAGTGCCACCTATGTAAAGAAGCTGAAGAAACAGTGGTAAGCTGATGCAAGAAGATCGCACAGACTGACTACAAGCAGCGGCATGACAAAGTAGTAACAATGGTGCATTGGAAGATCTGCAAGAAATATCATTTGCCTGTAAGCAAAAACTGGTGGGATCATAAAATAGAGAAAGTCATAGAAAATGATAAAATTAAACTGCTCTGGGACAAGCACCTGCAACATAACAATGTCAATAAGAAAGACAAAAAGTCTGGATAGTGGACGTGACAGTGCCTGGAGACAGCAGAATAGACGAGAAAGAACTAGAGAAGATAACAAAATACAAAGACCTACAAATAGAAATAGAAAGACTGTGGCAAAAGCAAGCAAGGGTAGTACCAATAGTCATAGGCACCTTGGGTGCAATCCCAAAACAACTGGAGCACCACCTGAACACCATTGGCATTGACAAATTCGCTATTAGTCAATTGCAAAAGGCGGCCTTACTAGGAACTGCTTCCATCCTGCGACGATATCTGTAATACCATCAAACATTCACATCTGCCTATCCCAGGTCCTGGGTAAGGACTCGATAGGTAGACAAAATGCCAAATCCAGTCTGAACATCTGGCTGACTGTGGGATGATCAATAATAATAATAATAATAATAATAATAATAATGCCAAATCCAGTCTGAACATCTGGCTGACTGTGCAATGATCAATAATAATAATAATAATAATAATAATAATAATAATATTGGAAGGGACCTTGGATTTTCATTCTTAGAGATTATTTGTGAAGAATCAGAATGCAAGTTTTCATTGGTCATGAAAAATCTGAACCCTATATGTGTAGCAGAAAGACATCTAGAAAACTTCCATGTAAAGAGATTCAGCTAATATAGCAAGGAATACACAATGACCCCAGAATCTTGCAAGCAAGAAGAAATGATGACATGATTTCCATAGCTAATTTAGAATTACCATTTTGCTCCAGAGATGAATAGAGTTAGTGATTAATTTATCACATTCAATTGCAAATTAAGATTTGAATTTTTAAAAGCTGTTTGTAATCAGAGCTTGTCTCCGTTTAGAGCTAATCACACAACACACACAACTATCATCAATTATATCTCTTGATTATGGGATACAGTGAAAAGGAATTCCAAACAATACATTATGTATCTGCTATTTAGTAAAAATTATGTCTCATTAAATGTTCCAGTAAAGCATCATATCTATAGACATATTTTAATATTTCCTTTAATCTATCAGCCAGCAGAGTATGAGATAGGATTACAAGTATATACTCAGAAGCCTATGACAAAGCCCTAAGTTATTTGCAACCTAAACCCCTTCTCAGACATCCTCCAAGGTATGAAGAATAAGCTCAAATATTTCCATGACTGAGTAAAATCCATAAAATACTATTAAAAATTATGAGCATACAGAAAAAAGTGTGACCTTTACCTTATAATCACTATATTACCATATACAGATTCAGATTTATTTTTCCTTATGCTGCTGAATAAACTACCAATCAATTAAGGTAAAGGTAATGACAAAACTCAGAAAGAGGGTGACAAGGCAATAAAAATAATTACATCATTTTCTATTCCCATGTTTTAGTGCATTTCTATATGTATAGAAAACAAGTCCATGTTCATTGTGGAAAAATAAAAATATACACTCTATTGCTTTTTGGAAAAGAAATCCAGCAATTTAAAGAAAATAGAATCCATGCCAGGGAAGACATTTAGCTGTTATATTTATAGATAACATTATATCAAGATGTGGTCCCACATATCTTGACTATCCAATTCTTGCTGACTTCATTGCAAAGCATTGACTGAGTTGATGGGAAGGTTATTTACATGTAAATTATCATTTGAAGTTACAATCATCAAGTGCTGAATAACTGCCTGAACCAGATTATTATGGTGTGAATTGCTGACTATACTGTATGTGGGAGTTGCTACTTTACTTATTTCTAGGTAAAGTTTTGTTTCTTTCTCTCTTCTTGATCTTAGAACTGCTCCAGATCTAGCTCTTTGCCTGAAGTTCCAACAGCATCCATTGCAACAAATGTATTTTAGTTCCAGATAGCTCTAAAGGAGACTGCCCTAGTCATATATGCTTTATCAGTGGGGTCGTTGGTGCGCTCTGAGCTTATTTGTTTTCTTGCAGATATTTCATTACCAAACTAGGTAACATCATCAGTCACTAGAAAGGGTAGCACTATTACCAACTAACTAATTTTATTAAAAGGTATACCCTTTTATGAGCTGCAGTTTACTTCATCATCTGAGTGCCTAGAGTATTCTAGTATTTAATTTGGGGTGAGGTGGGACAGAAAAGGAGAAAAAGATTAGTTATGCAGATGCAGAATGCATATTACTAATACCTTATCAATTAACAATTGTAATGTGCTTAAAACCCAGAGGGTTGATGGGAAAGCTAACCTTCTGAAATTTCCTGTAACTATACAATGTATGTGAGTTCAACAATTTCTCACTCAGTGGTGGAAATAGGGTCTATTTTTTTTTTTAAAACATTAATTTGGATTGCTATTAAATAACCTGGGAGGTTGAAGTGTTTTAATAGTACTTTCTCTGCAATAATGGTGAATATCTGTAGCTCGGGTGTAGGATGAGGGTGAAGGTTTGTTCTCTGAGCTTGTGGGTTGGTTTCCGAACATTTTGTTACCAGGCTAGGAATCCCTAAACACCACTGAATATGTTATCTAGCCTGGTAACAAAATGTTCAGAAACCAACCCACAAGCTCGGAGAACGAACCTTCACCCTCAATACTTTCTCTTTGCTTTGAGTCTGGACTTCAAACTTGTGTCCATTAATTCTTGTGTGCAAAGTCTGTCCTATTTGTCTTAGGGGGCATTTCAGCAAATATTGCAATGGAGGAAGACTAAATGGAGGAACCTGTAAAATTGTTTTTACTTTTTGGGGCCCATGGTGGTATTGTTGGGGGAAAGTAGACATCAGTACCTGGCATCATTGTTTCTTGCTGCTTGTGAGAATCTACTTCAGGTTAGGTGATTACATGTTTGCAAGTATGGGTCTGCCACTCAGAGTCTAAGATAGTACACTGCTTAGGGGTTTGTGTGTGTGTTTGTGTGAGTGTGAACTCCTATTGACTGCCTAAAGTTTTCTTGGCAAGATATTTTGGAAATGGTTTGCTATTGTCTGTTTCCTAGATTGAGAGAGAATGACTGTCCCAAGGTCACCTAGTTGGTTTCTTGCTTAAGGGCTAGAATTTCAGTTACCCAGTTTCTAGCCTGATGCCTCAACCAATAGAGCAAGCTGATTCTCACAGTGGGGTATAGATTACTAATAATGTGTTTGAGTTGTAGGTGACAAGCAGTGGTGTTCTGTTACGCTATTTCTATATTTGTCTTTTAACAGGTCCTCTCTGGAAATGGAATTGGCTCTATTGATTCATCTATTGGTCTCATAGGGTGAGTAGTTCAGTTTCCTGATGCTTAGTTTAATTTCATCAGTTAAGTATCTCTCTTAAGTGGAACTGAAAAAATGTGGAAATAGCATTGAGGTACCGGTAGATGGTAAATGTGATAGTTGAAAGCATGTGACTATGCAGGGCAATCTGTAATTTTTCTATCTAACATAATGTTTGTCCATTGTGAAGTTTTATCAACGAAGATATCAAAGAAGCTGATTTGTTCTGTATGTAGCTCCAAACTGAGGTTGACAGAAGAGAAGAAGTTGTTAGGCATGATGAAATTTGATAAGAGATTCATTTCCATGAGTCCAGATATTTAAAATGGATTAGTGCAAAGTTACCCAGCCTTATGGCAGGATGTGATATTTTAGCATCAGTGATGATATTCTCTTTGGCTTAAAATCCATGACTGGGCAGAATGTTGGTGTATAACTTCTCAACATTTATGGTGGCTAAAATGATGTTGTTTGTAAAATTTGCTAGAAAATGTGTTACCAGATCCTACAATAAGCTAACATGGCCATGATCCTAAATGTCTACTTAGCAGCAAGAAGTACTAGAGAGCTGCATAGAAAGATGTGCTTCAGACCAAATTATGTTTCAGGACAAATATATGATTTCAGGGTATTGATAGAAACACAACTCCCTACACAGGCATCCCTATTTCCTAAGAGCATTATCTTGGGTTCTTCAAAAATGTTTGGCTTTATTTACTACTATGATCAGGAAATTAGTGGTTTTATTTTGAAAAGCATGAGGATTTTCTTTAAAAATATATAATGCTTACTAAAGTTCAACTTCCCATGTGTGTTTGATTGATGATATTTTGCTTTTAATTGTTCTTTTGGGATATGAAGTAAATGCTATTTGTAACTCTGTAGGTACGGAAAGGAAGCTTTTTGAAATTTATGCAAGCTGATAAAAAAGACAATGTAATCCTCTTCCTTAAATATTTGTAGATTAGTGTTGGTGTATTTCAAGTTACATTTCAGTAGAAGAGCACACGGAGCAAATTGGTAGCCATGCATTAGAGAAGAAATAGACAATGCTAAAATGGCCATTATAGCTTATAATGGTGTTACAGCATCTAGCTATTCTTCAAAGCCATATCACTAAGAAATCAGATACCCAAATATCTATTCATTTTGCTTAAAGCATCACACACTGTGTTCAGGTCACTTCGGAGATCCTGGACAACATTTTCAATGCTTCTGGTGTCTTTCAGAATTTCAATGCTTTGGGTGTAGGGGTTGAAATAAACAGAAAAGGGACGGTTGATTGATTTTGCAAAGTCTCTGAAATAAAAATAAAAAAGAATTAAATTAACTCTTATTTCTGCACTTACAGATAACAGCAAATTCAATCTGGGGCTTGTTTTTAAGGGTCATGAAAATAACTTGCCTCATCTTTTCTTTGGCTTCTTCAAAACTTTCTGAGACAAAGTAAGCTTCCTGGAAAGTTGTGATAAGGCATTCTTGCAAGCAGGTTGTTTTTGGATCAAATGTTTTCACACTGGCTTTATCAGACAGAGCATGCTGCAAAATACACCACATCAACTATTAAGTTACATGACAGAAACCACAAGTGTTTCTATGCACCCAAACTTTATAGCAAAGAATGCGCTCCACTTCATATGATTCATCTATAATTGTTTTTTTCTGAATGAATGTGATGTGCATCTTAACTTATCAATCTATTTATTGCTTTAAGATTTCCTTCCCCTCAAATAATTACACCATCAAGAATATATTAATTTTGCTTTATATATGAAAAATAACAAATCATTACACCTGAAACAATAATATTATTAATAAATACTTCAAGTATTCCCATACTATGGCCAATATTAGGAATTCTTCAAAAGCAGAAGCAATATATGGATATTTACCCACAGCACACATTCGTAAAAAATATATTTCACCTCCAGTAAACGTAACACCAATTTGCTTCAGGCTTGAAAAGATCTAAATAAATAATGAACATTTTCATTGCTCTTTTTTAATATAGTATAAGGTAGATTGACATGCTATTAACAGTTCATCAAGAGTGTTCACTGTATACCCATTTGTTTAAAACCAAATTGAATGGCATTTAGAAGAAGTCATGGAATTTTATGAGTATACGTTTTTTTAGAATAATGTAAAGAACTGGGAGTGAACGGGAGGCATTGGACATCTGTGGAATAAAATTCATACTCTGCTCTAATCAGCTTCCAACGTGGTACAGGAATTGTTCTATCTCGGTTCATGAAGAAAAAAATAATCAGATATTTCCTTTTAAGAAAGAAATATATATAAAAATAATTATAAAGGTTGCATGTGATAGTGCACACAGGGTCTTGAACTGCACAGATACACTTATGCATGTTATTCTCTCCATATGGACATATCTGGTGTTTTTACACATGAGGATATGGATGTTCATGAGAGTAACAAATGGGGCATTTCCTCTTTCTGTATGTTTCATAATTCTTAGATTCCAACTTTATTTTCTTAAAAAACAACTACTAGAACTTAATTTATAAAAGTGAAATATGTAATCATTCTTCTACCTATTTTCTTTACGTTTTTGCCCCAGGAAAACCTTGCCAAAAAAATTGCAGAGACTTGTCCAGGTAGTCTCCAAAAATTGAACATAATTGAACTATATCTGTTATTTGTGCTTTATTATTTCCAGTGCCTCCTTAATCTTCCTTGTTTCTAGGTGATATTTTTTGATCAGATATTCTCTGGTTCTTCAACTTCTTTTCTTTCATCTGTTTTAGTTTGCTTGCTTCTGATCTTAGCATGCTGATCTTATTTTCCAGCCTGATCTTCCATTTTGTGGTGCACTGTTTGGCTTTTTTTTTTCTTTTTCTTTTTTACCCATGATATTCAGTTATAATGCAGCCATTCTATACACTAGTTGCTTGTTTTTTGCAGTGAGCTGGTGCTTATATTTGATATTAAAGTACTGGCATCTTTCAATACATGTGCTAGCTTCAATATAGGCAGCCTTTTTCTGTTGTCTTTGTGATATTCTAGATGCCCACTTATTCTTTACTTCAATTCTTTTTAGTTAAAGAATTTGTTTAACTATATAGCTGCTGGAGAAGTTATTCTTTTGTTTGAAAAACACTACCCCTGCTGAACAGAAGAAAAGACAGAAGTTTTGACCCAATATCTGGAAGCTGTTAGGCCAGATGGGAAGAAGTAAGCTGCTCCAATAAACTCTGGATAGGTAGTCTTTCTCTGAAGAATCAGTCTGTGAGGATCCTCTGCTACCGTGTTCCCCCGAAAGTAAGGCCTACCCCAAAAATAAGCCCTAGTTTTGGGGCAAGGCACATACGTAAAACTCAAGCTAGGGTGGGGGTGGGGGTGGAGCTGCCCTACATGGCGCTCGCCCACTTACCTTGCATCCAGGCCTCTCCTCGCCGGCCCACTTCTTCTGTGCCATCTCCTGTAGCCAGGCCTGCATTTCTCAGTCACAGGCCTTTCCAGAAGGCCACTTCAGCCAAGAACCAAGCTATGGATTCAATCTATACTTGGTACTCAACTGCTAGGCCTTCTGGAAAGGCCTGACTGCAAAATGCAGCTGCAGAATGAAGCTGTTCCATCGACCAGAAGAAGTGAGCAGTGGGTAGGACTAGATGACCTCCAAGGTCCCTTCCAACTTTATTATTATTATTATTAAATATATGTTAGTACCAACAAGTGGACTGGCTGGGCGGGGCTGTTGGTGTTGGAGGTGAGTATAAAAGACACACACACACACCCAAAAATAAGACCTAGTGCCTCTTTTGGAAGAAAAAAAATAAGACCCGGTCTTATTTTGGGGAAACACGGTAGTTGGAGAATTACTGCTAGACAGGCAGAAAGAATCCATGTATTGAGGTAGCTGCATTCCTTCTTGAAGCAGATACTTTGAGAAAGGCTTCTTGTCATCACCTATTAAGTCAACTACAACAATACCCCTTACCTGGAGCAGCCTTTGAAGATTCTTCTAAAGCTGCAGATGGTGCAGAACATAGCAGCCCATCTATTATCAGATGAGAGCCACTAGTGCCATATGCCAATGGTTAGGCTCTAAATTGGCTTCCAGGAGGCTTCTGAAGGCAATTTGAAGTGTGTATTTTAATCTCTAAAATCCTTTATGACTTTATACCTGGAATTCTTCTGGACTGTATGTTTCAAGTAGAACCAACCATCCAGATTTTTTTTAGAAAAAAAAGAGTACATTGAGAGTTACTTCCTAGTGAGATGGTTAAGAATACATTGCATGTATTTCATGTTATTGCCTTATTTAATGAAATCTTTTTCCTTAAGAGATGGCACTTTCACAGCTTTTCAGACAGCAATGAAGATAGGGCTTTTCTGTAAACATTTTGATTATTGATTAATAAAGAAGTCATTCTTGATGCCAGATTTTGTTTTTGTCTGTTTTAATAATAATAATAAAGTTGGAAGAAACCTTGGAGGTCATCTAGTCCAACCCCCTGCTCAGGCAGGAAACCCTATACCATTTTGGACAAATGGCTGTCCAGTCTCTTCTTAAAAACTTCCAGTGTTGGAACATTTACTGCTTCTGGAGGCAGGTTGTTCCACTGGTTAATTGTTCTAACTGTCAGGAAGTTTCTCCTTAGTTCTAGGTTGCTTCTCCTTGATTAATTTCCATCCGTTGCTTCTCGTCCTGCCTTCAGGTGCTTTGGAAAATAGCTTGACTCCCTCTTCTTTATGGCAGCCCCTAAGATATTGGAACACTGTTATCATGTCCCCTCTCGTCCTTCTCTGCGTTAAACTAGACATACCCAATTCCAGCAACCGTTCCTTATATGTTTTAGCCTCTAGTCCCCTAGTCATCTTTGTTGCTCTTCTCTGTACTCTTTCTAGAGTCTCAACATCTTTTTTACATTGTTGTGATCAAAACTGGATGCAGTATTCCAAGTATGGCCTTACCAAGGCATTGTAAAGTGATATTAATACTTCACATGATCTTGATTCTATCCCTCTGTTAATGCAGCCCAGCACTGTGTTGGCTTTTTTGGCAGCTGCAGCACACTGCTGGCTCATATTTAAGTGATTGTCCACTAGGACTCCGAGATCCCTCTCACAGTTACTACTATTGAGCAAGGTACCCTCTATATTATATCTGTACATTTGGTTTTTCTTGCCTAAATGTAGAACCTTACTTTTTTCACCATTGAATTTCATTTTGTTAGATAGCACCCAGTGTTCAAGTCTGTCCAGATCCTTCTGTATCTGAAGCCTGTCTTCTGGAGTGTTGGCTATTCCTGCCAGCTTGGTGTCGTCTGCAAATTTGATGAGTTCCCCATCTATCCCTTCATCCAAATCATTGATGAAGATGTTGAAGAGCACTGGGCCCAGAACAGAGCCCTGGGGCACCCCACTACACACTTCCCTCCATGTAGATGCAGTTAGCTGTAGGTTAGTAAGCTGATTAGCAAACTAAGGTATGTAGGAAGCACATCACAATAGTAATGGGGGACTTTAACTACCTTGACATCAACTGGGAGACAAACTCTGCACCAAGTGGAAGATCAAACAGATTCCTGATAAACCTAGCAGACAACTTTGTCTCCCAAAAAGTAGAGAAGGGAACTAGGGGATTAGCCATTTTGGATCTAATTCTCACTAACAGAGGAAATGATAGAAGGTTTTGATGGATTATATATTGTTGTAAACCACCAGAAGTCTGCATGAAGCTAGCAGTTAGGAAATATCAAAAATCAAGTTTTTTTCTCTTTCCTTTCCAAAATCTTTGATGTGTCTTTTGCAGTACTTTTTTTCTAAAAAAAAAAAAAAAAAGTTCCATCCAAAAAAGGTGCTGGAACTCCATTCTGGGCGTTCTATGAGAAAAAAACCCCTGGTCTTTTGACTGTTGAAAAGGCCACCGGGTAAATAGGACAAAGCATCTATTTGTTTTTGTTCTTCCAGTCTAAGATTAGTATTAGACAGTATTTTGCTTATAGAAAGCCTAAGGTTCAATTTCTGGCCACTTCATACTGAGCCGGGAAAGAGATCAGTTAGATATTCTGGAGAGCTGGTATCAATCAGGGTAAATCAGGGGTGTCAAACTGTCGGCCCACAGGCTGGCTACAACATGCTAAAACCGTGCCCACCCCATTGCTGGCAATGGAAAAAAAAGTTGTGATAATTGCGACATGTCATGTGATGTTGCGAGTTTGACACCCTTGGTGTAAATACTGAGTTGAATAGATCAAGATTAATGATAAAATTATGCAAATTTGAAATTGCTAATAATTTAACTAAATAACTAATAATTTAAAAACATATTTAAAAAGATGTTAGAGACATGGGTCAAAAATGTTTTAGATGCATTCCTGCCCAGCTCAGGAGATAAAAATTAATATGAAGCAATATGCAATAAATTTAGCACTGCCTGCAACTCTTTTGAAAAGCTACATCTCTTTCTAGAATTATATGACAGCCTTGTAGAACTCAGGCACATGATCCTGAGAAAAGGCATGACTTTAAAACAGTTGCAGATGTGTGTTGTCTGCATGCTTCTACATGCT